TCTTGCAAAATCACATGATTCCACAAGCTGGAGCTTCTAAAGGGAAAAAAAAAAAAATGTTCAGCTCCAGGAGCAGATGTCACCCAACCACGAGGAGCTCCATGGGATATCAAATCACATGCAAATATCCTGAGATTTGCATTCAAAGCCATGAGAACCCACCCCAGTGAAATGGCATGAGCGCTGTGCTTCAGGGCTGAGGTCAGCCTCTGCTGTGGGCCAGGGAGAGGGGCTTGATGGGCTGCCCAAGGCTGGGGTCCTGCACAATTCCCTGGAGAATCTCAGCCTGGATAAAAGGCTCGGGAAGATGGACTGAGGGTGTGAGGCCTGTCTGGCAATTTCTGTCTCATGTTCTTTTCTCTGAGGTCAAAATCCTTTTTCCTCTGTCCTGAGCTGTACCTGAAACTAAGCAGCATGTTCCAGTGAGAGAAGTAATTACCATGAGTTCATAGCATTTATTTTTAATGAGGCTGGTCAGAATCTTCATTTAGTATTTTGATTCATTTTTCTGTGCTCGGCAGCTCCTGACGTCTCCGGTTTTGCTCTCCTAGAACCACTGCAAGCAGCTTCTAGACCCAGCCCAGACAGCGAGATGCTCCATCACCAAAATCTTGACTTTTTAAATTGATTATCAGGTTCTGGGGGGCTGTTAGGAGCAGCTCTGGGTGCTGCAGGAACGGGAGGATCGAGGATCAGGGCGCTCTTGTATTTGCTTGTTTCCGCCCACTGTTTAAAGTGCATCAACAATTCCTTCCCGGCAGCAAAACAAGGGAAGAGCTGGTACTTTTAAGGTAATTCTGACATCTGTGCTATGAATAGATCCTGAGGGAAATTTGCCCTCTCTCCTGGGTTCCCTGTGCAGGAGCTCGGGAGAAGGCAGGGCTGGGGAGAGGCACCAGGCACTGTGGAATGTGGGAATGGCTTGGGGTGGAAGGGACCTTAAAGATGTCCCATTCCAACCCTCCTGGCTGGTGGTGGCTCATCCCAAAGCATGGCTGAGCTCAGGTGAGGGGATGCAGCCCCCTCCAAGGCAGGTAGGTCCCGCCCAGCATTCCTGCTCCATCCCCCCAGAGCAGCCCTTTATGCTGGCTTTTGGGAAATATTCCATGCTTTTCCCCTCCTCAACCACTCCCCAGCCATTTGGTGGGTAGCTCCTGGTGCACCTGCTAGGAGAGGTGTCACCAGTGCCACTGCAGGGGTGGGAAAGTGGGACATGGAGCAGGACAGGCTGGCAGGGCAGCTCCCAGTGCTCCGCTTCCCTCTCCCCACGGCAGGAATATTTCCCAGCCCGGGCCAAGAAAACCCACTTGCCTACTCAGCCAGTGCTAACAATGCAAACACTAATTATATTTCCCTCACCTATCAAAGGATGATTCATTTTAGGTGAGTGGGCACGGAGATTACACAAGATGAACACCACCATGCCACCGCCCGGCCCTTTCGGGGTAGCCCTCCCGAGAAACAAGGATTTAGGATTTAGGGAGCGTGGGACATTCAGGATGGGAGAAGACTGGCAACAGGGTGAGGCTGGCTCACAGAAGGCATCCCTAACCTGTCCCATTCCCTCAGGGACGCTGGGCAGTGGGTGCCCAGGATGGGGCTGGTCCCATGCCAGAGCCCCTGTCTGGTTCAGGATCCCAGTTGTTCAGCTGGGAAGAGGTGGGAGGAGGAGGAAAACAGCATTGCTAGGGATGGAAAGGGCAAAACCAGACTGGGGGCTCCCTTCAGCCACCCCGCCTCACCCACTCCCACAGCCATGATGGTTTCAGCAGCTCAACCCTAACCCAATACAGAGGATTCCCATGGGAAGTCTGGAGCTCCAGCTCCAGCTGTCCCCGGGGTGAAATCCCTGAGATCCCCAAACATCCCAGGCAGGAAGCAGCTGCGATGCCTCCTGATCTCCAGACCTGACCAGAAGAGGGTCTCCAACCCTCTGCCCCAGGTGCCCCCAGCTGCAGTGCCAGCATCCCCAGCCCCACACAGCTGCTGGTCCAGGTGGATGCAGCCCCTTTCCCTGGAGCAAGGGAGCAATTCCAGCTCCCACTCCGGAGCTGGGCTGAATCAGACAAGTGCTTCAACTCCAGCACCCGACCGAGCAACCCTTGGGAGCTGCTTTATGTAATATCAGGAGCTCTGGAGGGGGGCAGGAGGTTTTTTTGGCAGCAAGACGAGGCTGTAGCAGCAGTGCTGGGGGTGTCTGAGTGCGTGAGGCCGGGGGGACAGCGGGACGGCGCCGAGGCCGCGTGCCAGCCATGCCAGGGCCATCGGCGACGCGCGGGCTCCTGGGGGAGCGGCACGGATGGACACGAATCCCCCGGGCCGGGGGAGCAGGATTTGCTCTCCCCGGGGGTCAGGGAGCGCGTGGGAAGGCCGTGGGGGGCCGGTGGGCGTGGGGGGACGGGCGTGGGGCGCGCGGCGTGCGCGGCGTGGGAGGTGTGAGCTCGGCAAGCCGCGCGTGGGGACGGCGCTGCCCGCGCCGCCCGCGGGGCTGGCAGGAGCGCCCAGGCCACCGTGTGCCACCCACGACACCCAACGCGCCCAAGAGCCCGGCGGTGACACCAACACCCCTCCCAGCACAGTGCTGGGGCACGGGGAGCGTGCCCTTCCCCGCTGCCGTGCCAGGGAATGGGAAAACGGGAGAAAATCCGTGGATTCTGGGGCTCCCCGAGCCTCGCTGCGCATTTAGGGCCTCATCCCCAAGCCAGGGCTGGGGAGCTAAAAAAAAAAAAAAAGATGTGCAAGGGATGAATATTTATCTGTGGGTGGCAAGTGACAGATGCTGGGGCGAGGATTCTTGGATACTTCAGTTTGCTGGAGGTAATAACTGGAATAGATTAATGAGAAACATCCTTCCCTACAGTTGCCTCCCCGGTGCCACCGCTCCTGCACGCAGCGGCCTCTGGGACACAAACACACAAAGTTCAGCAAGGCTTGGTGTCCAAGAAGGCTGGAGATGCCCGGCTTTGGTGGTTTCCACCAAAAATAGAGCCAGGCAACCGGGAAAGGGAGGTGGCCTCTGGGTGCTGGGAGCTGAGTTGGTGGAAGTGGCCTTGGGGGTGTTTGTGGCCCAGCTGAGGTGGGGAAAGCTGGTGTGGAGCAGCATCCACAGTTACCAGCACTCTGCATTTCCCCAGCACGGCATTCCTTCCTCCTTGGAAGGTTTGCAGAGTCCCAGGGGGAGCATTTTGCCACAGACCCTGCCCTTTCCCAGCACTGCTCCTCTTCCCTTCTCCTGAAATCACAAACACACGACGACGTCGCTTTCGGGTCCCTGAGCACAGGGAAGCTGGGCTGGCCTGACAAGATGGAAGGAAAAGCTCTTTGCTTCTGGTAGCTTCTCAGAAAACGCTGAAAGTGCTGCTAAGCCACCCCAGGGTGGGGATGCTGCCCAGGTTTCCCTAAAAAACGCTGTGCTGCAGAGGATGGGGAGTGTGCCGGGGCGGGGGCACGTGCGAGGCCGGGGACAGGGCCAGCCCTGCAACACCCAGCCCTCAGAGACCTGTAGTTAGTCCAGACTTGTGTCTGTCCTCCCTCAAACCTCCCAGGCAGGGGCTGGGTGCCAGGAGGAGACAGCACCCACGTTGGGAGCAAGCAGAAATCCCCCCCCAGCCCCTCCTGAGCGCCTTGGATGTGGGAGACGGCGACGATTCCCTGCCCAAGCTTTATTTTTGACTGAAGGACTGCTGGGATTTATCCATGGCTTCCAAACACACACCCGGCACATCCCAGCTTAGTCCCCAGCATCCTTCCAGGCAGCCGAAACAAAAGGTTGCAGCTCTCTTTTTCTCTGGCAGAAAACAACCGGCACCAAATTATCATTAAAAATCCCGAGGTGGTTCCGCCTCTCCCTGCGAGAGCACAAAAAAAAAGCAGCTGCAGGTGAGGTTTAACCTCCCCTCCCTGTGCAACCACAAAGCAGCAAACTGGCTTTTCCAGAGCAAGGTCTTGCAGCACCTTTCGGCAGGGCTGCGATGGAGCTCCCCGACGCTGCAATTTCCTCACCGGAGCCGTATGGAAAACCATAACATCCTAAAAATAACCCCGGAGCCTGCTTCAGGAGGCCACCATTCCCGGGAAAAGCAGGGGCCAGCGGAGCCCAGTGCCCCTGGCTGCCGGCAGGTAGGCCTGCCTCGGATTATGGTGGCAATTCCGATTGTGGAAGTAGCCCCAGCCCAGGAGAGAGGATGATACAGCCACTTACAGCACAGCACCAGCTGTTTCTCCCAGTTCAGCCCTAAAGCTTGTTAGCCCAGCAATTTTTTGGGGGTTTGATCGCTCCAATTGGGTTTTCTTGTTTTTCCTCTAATCCCAGTTTTCCCTCAGCATCTCGTTAAGCCGTGTTGACGGCAGAGAAGAGCTCTGGTGATCCCTCTGAGCCCCTACGCTAAGCATTAAGCCGTAAACTAGGAATGTAAGACTCTTGTCTGAATTAAAGTCTTTTCCCTGGCATGGCTGAGCGTGGGGCTGCCTTTGGAGGGGCTGGAGGAGGAGCAGAGCCCCCCGGCGCTGGCTGGGAGCGCTGGCAGCACTGGAGCTGCCCCATCCGCCCCGGATCCCCCCACACACACGCTCGCCTCCATCCTGCCCCGCGTCGTTCCCATGCAAATCCTACAGGTTCCAGTGGTGCAGTCAGAAGTGCCAATCCCATGTGCAACTTGGGTTGTGTCCCCAAGGCCTGGCCCACCCCGTGCTCCGACCCCTCTGGGCCGGAGCTGGGCGTCCCCCCAGCAGCACAGCCCCTTCCACATCCTAAAATCCTACTCCAGGAGAGGAAGGAGGGAGGACCCAGCGCCCAGAGACCCCATGGAACATATGGGGCTACCTGTGGCAAAGAGCTGGGCCGGTGCCACGCTGGGCTGGTTCCTTCTCTCCTGCAGGGTGGGAGCATCCCTTGATCCAAGGCAGCAGGTTACAAACTCCCAGAGTCCAACCCAAACCCCGCTGGGAGGTTCTCCCCACCACCCTCCAGCCCACCAGGAAGGGATCAATGCATCACCTACCTCCATCCGAGTAGGTCTCTGTCCCGTAGCCATCCTGTAATCCATTGCTCCAGGTGCCTTCGTACTTGGCCCCGTTTCCAGTGCATTCCCGGACCCCGTACCGTCCCTTAAATCCATGGGTCCACTCTCCTTTGTACACCCACTTCCCTTTGCTCTCCATGCCAATGCCATGGCGCTTGCCCTGCGCCCAGGTGCCCTGGTAAGTGTTGCCACTGGGCCAAGTGTAGACCCCCAGCACCTCAAAGCCGTGACTCCAGGAGCCCGAATATTCACCTTGACCCTTCGGGCCGGTACAGATTCCATGGCCATGAGCCTTTCCGTCCTCCCAGCCTCCACAGTACGACCCTCCATCGTCAAAATTAAACCTTCCCCCACTGGACATGCATGTAATTCGGTTTGCAAATCTCCCGAAAGGTGAAAAAAAAAAAAAAAAAAAAAAGGAAAAAAAAAAAAGAATAGGAAGAAATGCAGGAAATAAAATGTGAACGATGACTTGGGGAAAAAGAAATAAATAAAAATTTAAAAATTTAAATCAAATTGAACTCAATTGAAATCATGCACCAGATCCAGGGAGCTGCTTAAGCCAGTTTCTTGTGATTATTCATTCTCTGGGAGTATGTTGAGGATCAGTTCTCTCTTCCCCTGCTGTGGAAACAGGATCATTAAAAAAAAAAAAAAATAGCAGCAAGAACAGCAGCAGCTATTGGATTTTGGTGCAAACGACTCCACCTAAAAACCATCCAAGGCAGGGAACGGGGGTGGGGGAAAAGGAGAAAAAAAAAAAAAAAAAAAAAAAGGCTGGCTGGGGCGCAGGGCCGGGGGCAGCGGCGGGCGCGGCGGCATCGCGGGGCTCGGCAGCAGCAGCAGCGGCAGCGGCAGCGGCAGCAGCAGCAGCAATGCGGAGCCTCCTCCGCCGCCCTCCCGCACGGCTCCCGGCCGCTCCCGCACCGCGCACGCCCCGCGCCCCCTCCCGCCGCCTCCCCCGCGCCGCAAACCTCAGAGCCGGGGGGCCGCGCCCGGCCGAGCCCGCATCCCGGCCCGAGGATGCTCACGGCGAGCCCGGCTGCCGGCCCCGGGGGCTGCGGGGTGCTGGGGGGGCCTGGGCTCGCCCCGCCGCCTCCCCCCACCCCTTTCCTCGGCGGCTCCCTACGGGGATAAATCCCGCTCGTTAATGAGCGGGAGCCTGGGCTTTCTGCTCTGCCTCGGCTCCCGGCGCCGGGCTCGGGGTGGATTTAAAGAGACAGGAACTGCGTCGCCTTCGCCTGGCAGCCAGCAGGGCCGCAGCCCCCCGCAGCCTCCCGGGATGCTCCCGCCGTTTTATTTATCCCTCCGGTTTTATTTATCCTCCGGCTCTCCCCAGCCCCGCCGCTCGCCCGCGGCTCCCGGGCCGGCATCTCCCGCCGGAGCCGGGGGTCCCCGTGGGCAGCTGGGTGGGAGGACAGCGGGGATGGGCCAGCCCGAGCGTCCGGGCAGAGCCCGCTCCGTGCCGGCTCCGCACGCCGCAGCCGCAGCACGGGCTGTTTATGGATGGAAGGAAAGGCCGCGCTGTGCTTCGCCCCGGGCCGGGGCAGCGCTCCGGGCTGGCTCCCGCTCCAGCCGGGCTGCGGCGAGCCCGCTCCCCTCCCTCCGGCACAGCGCATCCCATCGGGCTGCTCCCAGTCCATCGGGAGGCCCTCCGCGCTCCGCTCCGCAGATACTGCTTTTTTTATTATTATTTTTCTCCCTGGGTTGTTTTCTCCCTGGGTTTTTTCTCTCCTGGAATCCTCCCCGGGCAGCGGCGGCGGCTCGCGTTGTGTCCCTGGAGCAGGCGGGGTCCGGTCCGCTGGTGCATCCCCCTGGACCGGAACGTGCCGAATCTTTTTGGCAGCGGGACGCGTGTGCGGGTCCGTGTGCCTGCAAATATCGATATATTTGTGTTAACACACCAGGGGATTCACGCACCGGGATTAAAGGGAGAGCTCTGCTGGAGAGTAATTTAAAAGATGCTCACAAGTGCTTATAAAGCAAAACCTGGGAGATGGAGGAAAAACTCGGCTCTTCCCCAAAATCTCGGATTTGCACCCTGCCATCGCCACCGGCGTTACTGGAGTGGTGGTTTTGAGCCAGACCCAGCCTGGCCAGGACTCAAAGGAAAAAAAAACAAACAAACAACAAACTGTGTGTAACTGCTGGTGATGGAAACCCGCGGGATTTAGGCTGTGCATCCCCTCTGGAAAGGCTGCTTGTGCTCGGTACCTGCCTCACTGCCCACCCACCGGCAACTTCCAGGCTGTGTCTTCCCACTCAGTTGTTTTTTTGGTTGTTTTTTTTTTTTTTTCTCTCTCGATGCATTTTCTTGTCCATCCATGGAAACACATCACCACCCTCCTCTGGAAGAAAACCTTCCCCTCTCTCTCTCTCGGAGCTGGAGGGAAGAGATGCAACTGGAGTGGGTGGAAATTTTCCCACTGAAGCATTTCTTTCCAGTAGAAAATGTCTTTTCAAACTACACCGAGTCCTTTGTGAATGCAAGGACTCATTATACACTGGGGGGCTTTATTGTTTCCTTCCCTAAAAATCCCACACTCCAGGTGCTGCATTTTTTGGCAACTGCAAACTCCTTTTTTTTTTTTTTTTTTTTTTTTTTCACAGAGGGAGAATTTGGGTGGGAACCCCCAAAGTTTCCAAGAAAAACACCAGAACTGAAGTTGCTTAAACACATATAAAAATTTTGGCAGGGAACAAAAGAAATTCCAGTCCCCTTCTGTTGCTTTCTCAGTAGTTTTAAACACTTAGAGTCATTTTACATGTTAATTAGCCAACTAATTATTGTCCAGCTGTTCTTTTGGGGGGGATTTGGTGGGGTGTAGGGATCTGAGGCAGGCACCAAGGTGTGACACCCCTCTGACCAACGTGGGATGCTGCTCCTCATAAAGCAGGTGCTTAAAGTAACAGCAAGTTTAACGGTACTGGTGAAAAAGAAACTCCCAACAATCTGCTGAAGGAAGAGAGGAGAATGGGATCTGCTGTTAGGATGGTGTGTGGTTCTAAAATGAGGGTTATTTTGGGAACAGCACCTTTGTAGCTGAGGAATGGGCAGGTTCCACTCTAAAAATGCATCTACAAATCTTCTGGTCGTGAGCTGATTTAGGTTTCCTGGGGTGTCCCCTGCTTGACATGGCTGGAGCAGAGGGTTTGGTCAGAAAGGGACATTCTGGTCATTGAAGGGTTTAAGGTGGGCTCCATGAGGCTCCAAAAATTTCCAAAAGCCACGTTAGGAGGCAAATAAAGCAAATTGGAGGTGTCCAAGGCAGGCTGGACGGGGCTTGGAGCAAGCTGGGACAGTGGGAGGTGTCCCTAAGGGGTGGAATGAGCTGAGCTGTAAAATCCCTTCCAACCCAAAGCTGAGCTGTAAAATCCCTTCCAACCCAAAGCTGAGCTGTAAAATCCCTTCCAACCCAAATCATTTCACGATTCTCTGAGTGTGGGAATGCCAGGGGAAGGGCCTGGATGGACCCTTACAGGTGCCAGAGTAGCTGTGGTGTGGTGGCCAACCCTGACACTGCTGGCCCTGAGCTTCTCCCCAAATAAACCTGCTTGTCCCAGACTTTCTCCAAAGGTCAGGGTTTAGTTTAAAATAAAAACTCCTGCCCTAGTGAGCAGCTTTGGGAGTCCTCTCCAGAGCAGTTCATATTTCCTCCGTGCTGCTGATGTGCAGGAGGCTGAGGGAGAGGAAATTCCAGATTGGATTTCACACCAGCCCTGAATGCCAGCGGGCTTTTCCCTCCTGCCATGCCAGGTCAGGAAAGCTGGGCTGCAGGATTTCTCCAGGAGATGTGACTAATTGCAGGGACTTTTCCACCACAGGATGCAGATGGTGTCAGATAGGGCTGACAGGTTTTTTCTTTAAATACCTGGTGCATGTGTGGATGAGGAGATGAAGTTTGGGGTAAAAAAATAATGACGAAAAAATACAATAAAAGGCAAATCAGCTTCTAATAAATCACTGAGTGTGGATGGGGGAAGAAAAAGGAGGATTGGGCAGTGGGAGCAGTGGGTGTTTTGTATCCATGGTGGAAATGCAGAGCTCCAAAGGGAGCAGCTCCTGGGGCTATCCTTGCCAGCCAAGCTGGGGGCACCAGGCTGGTGATGGAAAGGAGGAGGAATGATGCAACCAGTCCACACTCCAAAAAAATTTAAATAAATTACAACTGGGAAATGACAGGATGCAAAGAAAAATAGCTGCATTAAAACAGTGGAACAAGGTGGAATTGCTGAATAGAATCCTGGAATCCCAGGATCCCAGACTGGTTTGGGTGGAAAGGGACCTTAAAGCCCATCCCATGCCACCCCTGCCATGCCAGGGTCACCTCCCACTATCCCAGGGTGCTCCAAGCCCTGTCCAGCCTGGCCTTGGGCACTGCCAGGGATCCAGGGGCAGCACAGTTGCTCTGGGCACCTGTGCCAGGGCCTCACTTTCTTAGTATCCCATCCTAATTAGGAATTCCTTCCCAATATCCCATCTAACTCTCCCCTCTTTCAGTCTGAAGCCGTTCCTCCCCTGTCCTGTCACTCCATGCTCCTGTATAAACTCTCTCTCCATCACCTCTGAGATCACTGAGCCATTAAATCCACACCTTAACCCTGCTCCCAGTGCCTCAGGGTGGCAGGGAATTCCTGCCTGGAATGCTGCAGCCCTGGGCTGTAACCACCCTCTCCATTTGATTTCCACTCGTGCTTGGAGGTCCTGACCTGCCAGTCCTGACTGGCATCCCACTGGGATTGGCTGGGAGCGGCTCTGAATCATTAACAACAAGGAAATAAATGATCCAGAGAGTTTCTGGATCAATATCCTGGGAAATAAAGCACGAGGCAAGAAGGGTCTGCAGCAGGGACTCGACACATTCTGCTCCTTTAAGCAGCCACATCCATAATATCTAATAAAAACCTTGGGATCCCTGGGGAATTCTGGCTGAGCGGTGGATGCTGGAGGTCCTGAGCTGCCAAAATAAAATATCCTTAGAACTTTGGGGGAGGGGGGAAGATACTATCCTAGTGGAAAAAAAAAAAGATTGTCTCCAGCATGAGGGAATTCCACATTTATCCTCACTCCAGCAGGTGAGGGTGGATTTCTCACTGGGCCAGGCATGAGCCTTCGTGGCTTGATTCTATTTGTTATGTGCAAATGAAGTAAAGCTTAAAGCAGTAATGTATAAAAATCTATATATTTACTTGCCACTTTAAAAGGTCCTGTTTACCAAATCAGAAAATAATTACAAGTCAGATGAATTCAGAGAAGGGCTTTAACTAAAACTTGTGATGAAAAGGGAAAAACCTTTAAGAATATTTTATCCAAAAAGCAGCAACACAGGCAGGAATCTTTGTTGAAATGACCAACATCACTTGGAAAGGAAGGGAAAGAGCTGCCGAGACTGACACACAAAATATAAACACACAAAAGGAAGAAAAGGGAAACTGGTTGTAATTAATAAACCTCAGAAG